AAGAAAGACCACAGGGTACCCAGAATCTCCCCCTGTGCCCTCACTACAAGGCCGGGAACACTCCAGCTCAAGCACTCAGGGATAGCTTTGCCCTCTCTGGGCTTCCCCTTCTCCAAGACACAAAGTCTGGGGACATGAAGTCCCACCACCTATGTCTGATCAGATCTTGTGATCCCTTGACGAGAGATATGGGTGTAGAACAGGGCAGATGGGAAGATGGAAGCCTTGACCGATTCAAAGGGAGAAAGTATGTCAAAGGAAGAGAGGAGACAACTCTCCAGGAACCCGTGCAAGGGCCTGGGGGTGGGAGCCACTGAAGAATGTGGGTCAGATGGGGGTCCTTGCAGGATAGCACAGCGGAGGCAGGAAGGGAAGGCCGGCCTCCGGTTTCCGAGGCTGGCGCAGGCGGTGAGGGAGGGCACTGCGACCCAGCCCACTTGGATGCTCGAGTTAATCTAACTGGACTCCAAAACTGGCTAATTTCTCCTGCCCCTTGCACTATGAATGCAGCCCCCGCAGCACCAACCCAGACCTGGCCCAGGGCCCCACCCTGCCCCCCTCATTAGTCAGGACCCCGTTGCAGCCCAGGAGGCAGCCCAGAGGTAATCACTGCATCATGCTTCAAAGCCACTGAGCCAGCTCCTAATGGGGGGCAGCGGGTTTCACTTACCTTGCCTGGCCGCCTGCCCAGGGCAGATGGGATGCAGCTGGGGGAGGCCCAACAACCCCCCCCCCCCCCCCCGCGCCCCGCCCCCTCGGAAATTGTCATCCTCTTGCCCACCTCCCTTCACCCCTTCTCTGGTTGGTCTTTGGAACTGAGGGATAGGAGAGATGATTTCCCCAAAGCAGGAAAAGGGAGCACTCACTGAGTGAGCTTGAAATCATGTCTCGGATCAAAAGACAAAGATCATCTCCTGGCTTGTCTCCACCCATCCTACCAGGGGCCCCCTGCAAGCCCAGGTTCTGTGAATGCGCGTCAGGGTTGGGAGCGTGAGTGGTAGGTAGTATGGAGGGCCAGGGTACAGCCGCTTTGACAGGCAGGTTCCGGCTCCCCAACTCCGGGTGTGGACGGGAGGGCAGGGATGGAGGGACGGACAGAGGGACCAGGACCTGAGGGTTAGCAGTGGGGCATGGAGGGCCTGGTGTGTCACACTGGCCATTTATGGTACCACTGGTTCCTTTCAGGGGGTCCTGGGGCGAGTGGCTTATCCGCTTCAAGCCTCTACCGCTTATCTGTAAAATGGCAATGCCGGCATCTCCGTCATGGGAAGACAGTGGGAATTAAAGGAGATAATGTGCAGCGCTCCCCACCCATAGGATGTCTCCATAGATGTGAATTCTCATGGTCTGGTTTGGGAGGCAGGCTGGTTCCCTAGTGATTGCTGGGGATGTATACAGGGAGCTGTGAGTGACATCCTGCAGGGGGCCTGGGGCGAGGGGTCCCAACAGGACTGGAGGACAGGGATCATGGTTTTTAGGAGCTTGCCTTCCCAAGGGGGCAGGGTGATGGGGGAGGCAGGGTGATGGAGGAGGGCCAAAGCCCTCCCATTCTGATGTCTGAAGATGAAGTTGGACCAGCACTGCCACTCCCAGCCCCATGTCGATGGCATTGACATTCTCCACTCTCTCCCCTTACGCTCACCGTTGAGTTCAGGAAGACTCAGAGCGTGTGTGGTGGGGGCCGGGCCCTCTGTATGTGCAGCTGTTACAGGAAGTGGTTCTGGGGGACCCTCCAATGAGAGTGGCTGTCCCCCAGCTCTGCTTGTCTGATCTCACTTGCTGGTCAGCTCCTAAGAGCCCACTCCCCGCGCCCCATCCCACAGCCCTGGCTCTATGTGCGGAGGGCTGGGGACAGAGGACCAGGTTGAGGGAGAAATTTTGGAAAGACACTCGTGTGTGGGGTCAGGAGTCACAACCATTAGGGAGATAGACTGAGGCCACCAGCGGTGCCGTAGGGCCTCCAATATTGTTCCAAGGCAAAGGGACAGACCCAGGGATCCCGCACTGATCAGGCAGAGGAATCTCTGCTGGGTGGTGGTGCAGATGCAGGATACCAGGTGATGGCATTGGTGGCCGTGGCCCTGCAGTCGTGGCGATGATGGTGATGGTGGTGACAATTAATTGTGTGGTCACAATAGTGACGGGGAGGACTGTGGGTGTGGTAGTGATGGCAGTGATGCTGGTGTCATGGTGACCATGTTGGTACAGGTGGCCGTGATGGTGACAGCCGTGGTGATGGTCCCCGCAGAGGAACATCCTGATCACAGCCATGCTATCCACAGCACAGTCGGGCCAAGATGCCACATTATGAAATCATGCTTCACATCAAATACCCAGCCCCTGGGACAGCCCATGAGGGCTATTCACTGCTGGATCCCCAGTGCCTCCAACAGTGTGGGGCACACAGTAGGTGCTCAATAAATACGTGCCAAAGGAGTGCAAAGAGCTCAAGTCTCTCCTGGTGATGAACACTATGTTGTCTCGTTTGTTCTTCACTGTGCTCATTCAAGATCTTTCTTTCTTTTTAAAGATTTTATTTATTTGACAGACAGAGATCACAAGTAGGCAGAGAGGCAGGCAAGGAGAGAGAGGGGGAAGCAGGCTCCCCGCTGAGCAGAGAGCCAGGACCCTGAGACCATGACCTGAGCTGAAGGCAGAGGCTTAACCCACTGAGCCACCCAGGCACCCCAAGATCTTTCTAAAGACATTCCCACTTGATGAATGAAGATACTGAGTCTGAGAGTGATGACATAACCCACCTGAGACACGGGGGGTGGGGGGGGTGAGTGATGTGTGTGTGTGGGGGGTAGAGCATGTAGGCGTTTACAGCCAGGCCTATCCAGACTCTCAGTTTGGTGCTCTCTCTCTCCCCCAGCACTCTGCAGCCGCTCTCCCCACCAGCTCTCAGCATTCCATCGTGGTCTTGCGCTCAGGCTTAATCATAGAAATACTGCTAATAATAGTAACAATTGCTGTTTGTAATTGTTTGAGTAGGGCTTCAATGATCAAAACCATGGAAATTATTAATAACCCAGGACCAGCCATGGTAGTGTGGGTCATATTAAATCGTGTTGAGATAGATAACCTTGGCAATAATAGTAACCGGGATCATAAATTAATAACAGGAGTATTTAAATTAATGCCACACTGTCGATACCCTTGGTAGTAAGCAGCTTGATGCCGCTGTTAGTACTAACATTGGCCCTTCCTGCCGTCCATGAACTTGACGGAGAGGAAAGACCGAGCTATAAAAGCTGCTGGAGGAGGAGACAGTTTAGAAGTGGTCCCTGTCTGGGAGAGGAACTCCTCAGGGATTCCTGAAGAAGGGCTAGCTGCCTGGCCTTGGAAGCGGTGGATCGTCCACACTCATGCTCAAGGACACAGTGACGTCTACCTGTTTTTTCTGAGGCTGTCCCCTGGACTTTGTTGGATACACAGGAAAGACATTCATAGGGCAGATTCCCCCCGCGCCCCCATGATTGAATAAATGAGCTTCAGCCGATCTAGGGAATCACCTACCAACCGCTTAGGTGCTCGCTTCACAAGTGCCCTTGATCTTCCCCCCTTCCTATAATGTGGGAGGGCAGTACAGTTTTTTTTCTAACTCAAAACTGAGGTCCTCACATGGCTAAGATCAGGGTGTGGGGATAGGCTTTGTAGACTTGTCCCTTATAAGCTCTGTTCCTTGGCCTCCTTGCCAGGGGATCAGGACAGGGTGGGGACAAGCAGGGAGTAAGTACTGAGGTGGGGGTGTTTCCCACAGAAACACTGGTAGCACTCTCCCTAGGTTGCCAGGGACCAGTGATTGGGATTTGCTGTGGTTTCTAGAGCATGGTGAGTGTGGCCCCAGGGATGCTTGCATAGTACATGGTACATGGTTATGAGTCTATCCAACCATGTTTCCTTTTATTCCCTTCTATAGGCCTTCATTGAACATCTGCTGTATACCAGGCATTCAGATAAGAAACCGTAGTCCCTGTCTTCAGGGAGTTCATAAGCCAATGGAAATACAGTCTAGTGAAGGCTATATTGTTGGGGCTGTAAGTGTATGTTTGTGTATGGGTGTGCGTGTTCATGAATGTGTGCACTTGTGAGAGACTGTGCATGTAAGGGCTTGTGTGGAGATGACTGCACACGTACACATGCATGTATGAATGTATAGGTGAGTGTGTGTTTGAATGTTATAACCACATGTGTAATGAGTGTGCAAATGTGTATGAGTGTGTGGGTGCACATGCATGTGTAGAATGCACAGGTTTACATGAATGCATGAGGGAGGTGTGAACACATGTAGTGGGTAAGCACATATATATGTGAGTTTGAGAGCGGGTGTATTCCTATGGCTGTGTGCACACCTGTTACCCCTTCAAACCCATCTTTTGAAATTCAGATAACATCCCACCTTAATGTCCCTTCTGCTCACTTTCATGGTCAGGCCACCTGCTACTTCTCCCCTCCCCTTCTCCTAGGACTTTGCACTGGGAAGGGACAGAGGTAGGGGTCTGGTATGGACCAGGAGATGAAGGGCGGGGCGGGCAGGGGGGCATTCTTGCTGACAGTGGCTGGGTAGGGAGCAGGACCCCGGGGAAGAAGCTGAAGTTGGAGGCAGAGGAAGATGGGTAAGACAGGGAACGCTGTGGGGGGTTTGCAGCGGAGAGGAGCTGGAGCCACAGAGGGGAAGCCCTGGTCCCCGAGCCCACAGCATCCGGGAGCAACGCGCACGAGCGCGGACCCGGCACTGGGTACCTGGGCGGAGTCTCGAGAGGCTCCGAGGGCCCGGGCGCGGAAAAGCGGCGGCGGGGCGCGCGGGCGCGAATCTCCGCGCAAGCCCTCCTCCCTTCCCCTCTTCTCTCCTCTCCTCCCCTCCTCTCCACTCCCCGAAGCGACCCGGCGGGCGGGCGCGGTTCCGGGGGTGGGCGGGCTGGGCGGGGAGGAGGCGGGGCCGCCGCACTGGCTTCTCGCAGCCCCTCCCGCCCGCAGCCAGAGTGAGCCGAGCCTCAGCCAGCTCTGGGGGGCGGGCGCTGGAGCGCAGCGCAGCGCAGCCCTATCCGTCCGAGGACCGGACTCAACTGGAAGCCGAGCGCTGCCGCGGGAGGCGGGCGATGGGGGCAGGTGCCTCCGGCTGCGCCATGGACGGGCCGCGCCTGCTGCTGCTGCTGCTGCTGCTCCTGGGGGTGAGTGCTAGCTGGAGGGCAACCTGCGCCCTCTCCCAGGACTGGAACCCCAGTGGGTTCAGGTTTCCCGAGGGAAAACAGAAGGGAGCTTTGGGGTCCCAGATGCTGGGGTTGGATGGCGGGAGAGGAGCTCCGCAGCCAGGATCCACGGAGGAGCGTCTAGGGTTCTCAGAGCGCAGGGGCGACCCGAGGCCAAGGGTGGAGATGCGGGAGAGAGGGGCGCACGGATGCGCGTCCTCAGGTACGGCGGAGGGTGCGTGTGGAGGAGCTGAGAGGGGTCTCTCAGATGTCTGGGTTCTGAAGAGGGCGTTTGGATGCTGAGACCTCGAGGCGACTTTCTTCCTGAGCATCTTGATCTCTGGAGGGTCGTGGGACGGAACCCAGGCTGAAGGAAGAGGAATGGGAGCGGGATTAGAGATATGAGGGGCGAGCGGGGCAGGGGCGGGGAACCAGAACAATGGGGGAGGTCGGAGGGACTGGAGGCAGAGGGGACCGGGCATCGGACAATGAGGGCCAGCCAGACAATGGGGGGGGAGGGGTGTGGGAGGGAGAGCTTCGGGGAGCGGGGGTCGCCCGAAGAGAGAGAAATGGGTTAGGGAGAGGAGAAAAAAGGACGACAGCGAGGGAGAGAGATGCCAATAAAATGCAAGAGGGCAGAGAAGGGAGAGCTGACCCCAAAGTGGTCGGGGCCACGCCTGCCCGCCGAGGGACAGTGGGACGAGCAGGCAGAGCAGAGGGACGGACGTTTCCCGCGCCTGTCGCGCGCTCTTTCTTGCGGCCTCGCCCAGTCTGGGAACTGCGGCTGGGGATCCGAGGCTGGGAAGGGAGCGCCCACTTCGCCGGGACGAACCCTGTCCCTGCCTCTCCTGCGCCCGGCGGGGTCCGCCGACGCGCTCATTCTGGAGGTTTGAAGCCGCGCGGGGACCGGAAGGGATGGAGCGGGCATCGTGCCACCCGGTCTGGCCGCAGCCAAGTCTCAGGGTGCAGAGCGCCGGGACTCGCGAGGCGGGGAAGGTCCCGGCCGCGCGCAGCCCGGGGTCGCGGCTGCCGAGGCGGCCCGCAGGGGGCGCTGAGAGGCGAGGGCTGTGCGGTCTGCGGCTGCGGGCGAGCCTGGGGCTGCGCGCCGCGCCCCCACTCGGACCCCCCATTAAGTTAAGCAGCCCGAGCTCGGCGCCCGCAGTTCTCACCGTCCAGCGCCCAGGCAGGTCGGGATTCCGCACGCGCCCCAACCCTCCCCGGCTCCAGCTTTTGGTGGAAGACGCTGGGGACGGAACCGAACGGAGGCGCTCAGACGCCGCAGATTCCGCCTCCGCAGGGGACTGCGGATCCTCTTAAGCATCTTAAGTTCATCCCGTAGTCCCAAGATACTCAGGAGGTGTGACCTGTGTGGGCCCAGGAACGGAGTGCCACAGAGTTTGGCAATAGGAGTCCTCACTTTCCCTGCTGTCTTCATTTTTTTTCTGAGCGTTGCACCCCAACCCCCATTTTGCAGGGAGGAAGACTGAGGCTCTGAGAGTTTAAACGACTTGGCCAAGATCTCAAAGCAAGTTAAACCAGAGGGCTAGCCAGGCTGTGCCGCGCCTGATTGCCAGCGCGGCACTCCCCATACTCCCCCATACACCCCATTCCCCGTAGGGGGGCACCCGGCGCCTTTCAAGAGCCGCCTTTCTCGGCGGGCGGTGGAACTCTGGGGGGCTGGGGTGGGCAGAGACCCTCTCTGGACGCTGGCCCCATCCCCGAAGCTCAGCCCCCTGGAGCTGTCAGTACCTGTGGCTTCTCTGGAGATTTGGGAGGGACTGCGGGCCGGTTTGCTGACTAACGCAGCGGGTTAGAGATGCTTCTTGACTGGGGAGGTGGGACTGGGGCGGCCAGTAGTGCGGCCCCCAGAGCGGCGAGGGCGTGGGCTGCAGACGCGGGCTGGGAAGAGTGCCCCCACCAAGAGGAGAGGCGAGGTAAGAGGGGAGCTGGGCGCGGAGGGCCTGGGGGCTCGGGAAGGTGGACCCCGCAGAGAGCGGGCTGCCCGCAGCCCCCACGGCGCTTGCCTCCGCCTCGCCCGGCTGCTGTCTGCGGGCTGGCTGTGCGCACCGCGGCGGTCCGAGTTTCTTCCTGCGCCGCGGCGATGGAGTGCTGAAACCGGAGCGCGTCCCGGCGGCTCGGCTGGCGGGCCGCGCCGGTAATGGAGGCACTTTGTCATTCAGACGTCTGTAACCGGAGCCGCCCGGCTGGCTAATGCGCCTAATAGGGATGCAACGAGGGCAGCAAATGGGTGGACAGGAGCGGCCAGGCGGGGGTGGGTGGGGGCTCCGGGATGGAAATTGGGGTCTCCCCCCACCCCCCGTACCAGTCCGGGCCCATTCACGCGCCTAGATTCTTCCCGGGGTGTGGGGGTGTGCGGGGCAGGGAGGTGGAAATAATAAAATTGGCTGAGCGCCTACTATGTGCCACGCACTGCCCTGGGTAATGTCTCTTGCGTCATTTAATCCGTGTAAGATCCCTGCAGAGTAAATCTAGTTATTCCCATTTTACAGTTGAGGCAGTTGAACCTCTCAGACTTCCGGGGCATGAAAGCAGGCTTCCCCCGTCCGTGCGTGGTGGCGCCCTTGTTGGAACCCAGAATGTTCAGCTTGGGGTTTATTCTGTCCTCCGTGGACAGGGTCTCCCCCACCCCCATCCCCCACCGCCCGCCCGGCCCCAGCCTTCTAGATCACGGGACAGGAGGACCTTAACCATCACTAGACCTAAATATTAGATCTGTGTCTCATGTCCTTGGCGCCACTCATTTGGCGCCCCTTCCCCCCACCCATAATCCCCAGGCCCCTCTCAAAGTCTTCCTACAGCCTCATCCTCAGTTAATTAGCTTGTCTCCTACCCCAAATTCAACCGCTATCTAAGGGAGTAAAGCGCATGTGCCAGCGTCTCCCCGGGTTTGCATTGACCTCAAAAGACCCTCCACATATTTGAACACTCTCCTTCCCCATGGTGGTGGCTAATGGCTCCATTCACCTAAGGAACCCCTTTGCTGAAACTGTTGTGAATGGTTAGAGCTTGTCACATTGAAGCATTCATAGAGTTTCAAATTCTTTCAACCATTTTGGTGTGTTTTCTATTTTGTCCAATTTTTTAAAAAATTTAAGGTTTTTAAAAGTCAACAATTCTAAGGGTGATTCCACCTTCGTTTTTTGGAAGCCTTGAACTGGCAAGAGGATTGCAAATATTCTCAACAATGGGATGAAATCATTCCATCAAATTGGAAATGAGTGAGTGTAATAAATGTAGATTTCAGGCACATGGGTCAGTTGATCGCTTTGGAGCAATAAGCCTGAATCCGTGTCATCCCTCCTTGCTTCCCAAGATTGCCCCACCCTGGACCAGTAGAGGGCGTGGCAGGGGCGAGGCATGAAGCCGCTTAGCAAATTGCCCCTGTGAGCCTCAGTTTCCCCAGCTGTCAGACAGGAGGTGAAGGCAGTCCCTCAAGTCCTTTTCCCTCAGCATCTTGGCTTCTGGAGTATCTGTGTGGAGTGATCTCTCCTCTCCCTCATGGGACTGTGATTTCCCTGAGCAGGGGTGGGCGAAGATAGGGTGGGGGTGGGGAGTTGGGGACCATGTCTCATTGGAAACACTTAGCTCAATGTTGAGCAAATAGTTGTTAACTAATAAATGGTTGTTAATTAATTAACTGTGAGGAGAGCAATTCCCATTCTCCTTTGGTCCCCCTGCCCTCTTCAGACTCTTCCTGGTGGGTCTTTCTTCATGTCTATCCTGCCCCACCTCTTAGGTAGTTTCCTCTCTTTGGGCCTGACTACAGCTCCCCCCTCCTCTGCCTCCCAGCCAGGCTCAGCAGCCCAGCCCGCGACAAGACACTTATCTGATAGCTAACATTTATGGAACTCCTACTGTACTCTGGACAGACTTGCATAAATTATTTCATGTAAATTTCATGACAACCCTGAGCAGTAAATATTACCAATCCAATGTTTTGTATGGGAGAATACAGGCTTAGAGAGACTGGGAACTGCCCCAAAGTTGCAGACCGTTAGGTAGCAGGTCTGGGGTGTTTTGAAATAGGACACATAAAACAAGCACAGGAAACACATGGTGACTAATTATGGGGCCTGGAGTCCAAATGGAAGACTTGGGAGAAGAGCAAGGATGGAGGGCTGTCGCCCGGAGAGCAGGCGTCAAAGGAGAGGGGCAGGCAGAGGCCGCTCGAGTGCCACGGACAGACCGCCTCAGCTCTCCAGTGCTCATCTCTCTGCTGAGCTCAACCAACGGGACCCCAGCCAGCAGCCACAAACGAGGCAAGAAAGACCTTGGGAAAGAGAACAGAGGGCTCCTGAAGTGTGTGAACACCTTCATTTGGTGTCTACAGCATCTGATGAGGCAGGTACTGTCACCTTACCTAAAGATAGAGAGACTGAGGCACAGAGAGATTTCAGCGTGTCCCAGATCACCCAGCTCTAAGCCATGAGCCAGAGCCACAGGGGCCACCGAGGAGGAAGGCAGAACAGCTCACACCTTTTACTCCGAGAATGCCCCCTTCCCCTCCCACCCCGTGCCGGTTCGGATCCCACCTACACTCCCGATGTACACCTTCCTGCCCAGGCTAGTTACACGGTTTCTACATCCAGTTTGACCTAATGAGTTAGAATGGTAGAGGAGGGGCTGCTCAGGTCATACTCTGGTGTTGGCAAAAACTGACAACTGATATCTTGACAGGAAGGAGGGAGAGAGAAACGCTAGAAAAAAAAAAAGGAAAAGAAAGAAAAAAAGGCTGATAAGAACTCAGAGACAAAAGTGTGGTGGTGATTTGGGGTAAAGAACACGAGGCCTTCACTGCACTATCGCCCAGAATCATCACTGAGTCCCCCCTGAGTCATGCAGAAACCGTGAACATATATTCCAGAATGAGAAGGGTGCAGCCATCGTGGTTAACATGAAAAACATTAGGTGATCAGAGCAGCAAATCCTCAATTCTTGGGAAATTCAGCTATCCTGAAAGTCACCCCCATCCTACATTTCCCGGCCCGGAGTTCTAGGTAATTGAGGTCGTTATTGTATTTGTACATTCTGAAATCCCGTAAATATTCAGGTTGGGTACCAGGTGCTGGGGCAACCGCAGTCCTGCCCTGCCCGGGGGCTGACTGTCCAGTGGGGGACATTGCAGCATGTCCCCCACAGTAAACCGGGAAAACATGTCACAGGGCTGCTCTGCCTCCTCTGGGAGGCATGGGGCTACAAGATCACTTCCTTGAAGTGACATTTAAGCATCAGCCTTCAAGGATGAAAAGAAATGCAAACAGACCCTTCCAGAGTCTCTCTGTCCCTCCTGGGGGAAAGCCTACATCTGGGACCCCCGCCGCCCCCACCCCTCCTGGTTTCTGGTCTGCAGATGTTCCCAGACCCATGTTCCTACCACCTGGGAAGAGACGGTGGCAAATACCCCAGGACCCCCATCCTGTGCTGCCCTCACTCTCCCTGCTGGTCTCCTGAGGACCACCAGCTGCCTCCTACACAGATCCAACCTGTCCAGCCCCCTCCTTCCACCGAACCCTGGTTAGACCTCAGGATATTTTAAAGGACTGGAGGGAAAAAGGAGTATTTTTGGCTATGAGCTTGCCAACATGGAAGCAAGGAATGTCCAAAAGGACCTTTAACACTCTGCTCTAGTCCCATGACCCCAGAGCCCATGCTTCCTCCTTGTACCAAATGGGAGCTGCATGGTCTGAGGCCAGGGAAACAGGCTTTGGAGTTTTATTAGACGCGAAGAATTTTTTTAAGGAATAGAAACATAAAGCAAGCGGCCAGCACTCTCCACCCCCTCCCCCCCCAGGGAATCTGGCGCTAAATCGTTCCATCCATGAGCAAAGAGCAAAGATGCCTCGGTGGCAGGAATCTGACTCCCCTTTCCCCTGCTCCAGCGCTGTTCCCACCGGCTGAATGGGGGCAGGGAGAGGAGAGGGCTGGTGGCTGGAAATCAGACTCTGGTGGAACTGGGCTGCTGGGTGGTGAGAGAAGCCAGCAGGCGCCCCTTTCTCCCTGCTCGGTGCCGGACTCTGGCCAATCGGCCCCAAATGGGCTCTGTCTTTGTGGGAGAGGAGAAGGGAAGACTCAGAAAGGGAAAGCAGAACAGGCCGGGACACCAGGGAAGCATCTGGATTCGAACCCATGACCCCAGCCCTCTGCCTTCTGCTCTTGGGTACAGACACTGTTCACTGACTAACATGTGAAACGGTAGAATTAAGGACCCAGAGGAGGGCCCTGCTAGCTTTTGCTAGAAAAAGTCTTCCCTCTGTGTAGACAGAGCCCTGCAACTATCCCTCCAGGGGAGAGGCATTTGGGCCAGAGTTACCTGCCAGGGGCCCCCTTGGTGGGAAGCCCCGTGCTAGCCAGCGGCCTACTGCTGGGTCCCACGCTGCCTTCTCCATGTGGTGTGCCCTCAGGATTCCAGAAGTTGCCATCACCCCAAGATGAACTCTGTAGAACGTGAGTGTCGGGGCTCTGACCTCACACCCCCGGCAGCCTGCAGGGGCACCCTGTCCCCGACTGCCTCTCTTCCCCCTGGCCCCAGCTTTGATGTGCCTGATGCCTCCGTGGTGAGCTCATCCGGGCCCAGGTGGTTCCAATAGAAGACTTTAGGAGGGGGTGTTTGATCTCTGGGAAGACACCCCCTCTTGCTTCTCTTGTTGGTCTGACCTTCCCATCTATCCCCCCACCCAGGTGTCCCTTGGAGGTGCCAAGGAGGCATGTCTCACCGGCCTGTACACCCACAGCGGGGAGTGCTGCAAAGCCTGCAACCTGGGTGAGGGGGTGGCCCAGCCTTGCGGAGCCAACCAGACCGTGTGCGAGCCCTGCCTGGACAGTGAGTACTGGGTCGGGGCGGGGGGGGGGGGTGGGGGGAGGGGCTGGGGGGGAAGGGAGGGCTCCAGGCCTGGCAGACGCATGCCCACTAGAAGCCTGACAAGGGCTCTGCCTCCTGGCAGGGTCTCCTCCCCACCTCTGTGTGGGCATCAGAATGGGTCCGGCCCAGTATAGGAGGTGAGAAGGGAAACTGAGAATGGCTGAGGAAGTCTGCGGAGGGAGGAGGAGGACCTCACGATGAGGGATCCCCAGGGGTGCCCCTTCACAGCCCCCAGGAGGAGAGTCCTGGTAGGGGAATGTGGCCAGGTGGGAGGAGTAGCTGAGGCTGAGACCAGCTAAAAATACCATCTGCGCTGTAAAATCAATGGCTGCCACTTACCCTCAGTGTGTTTGGGGGGAGGGGAGGAGGATCAAGTCCTGGCTGCCCTGGAAACTGACCTTGGGGGATCCTGGGAGCGTGTGGCTACCCATCCCGCCAGCTCTGACCAAGGAAGCAGAGCTTTCCAGAGGTAGTGGGAGCAGGGACTGTCCTCACTGTGGGGTGGTGTCAGATGGGAGAGGGCTGCTGTGGCCCGTCCTACCTGGCATTTTCCGGGGCTGCTGCTAAAGGATTCAGAAGGACGGCAGGTCTGGGGGCTGAATTCTGTGTGCTTTTGCCCCAGGCCTCTCTGTCCCTGCTGGATGTCCCCAGCCTCAGCTGCTGCCTTCAGGCCACTGGCTCAGTGCTCCTTTCCTGCCCAGAAACCTCCTCTCCCTGCCTAGTCACACCGTGCCTTCTAGGTGGCACGCACCGCGCACCTGGGCCAGTGGGAAGCATACCAGATTCTTCTTTAATCATGATAGGAGCAAGGGTATAGGAACTGGGAACTCTTTTTTTATTTAAAAAATAGATTTATTTGTTTATTTGAAAGAGAGAGAGAGAACACGGCGGGGGGGGGGAGGGGTAGAGGGAGAGAAAGAGAATCCTAAGCAGACTCCCCGCTGAGCACGGAGCCCCATACGGTGCTCGATCCCACAACTCCAAGATCATGACCCCAGCCGACATCAAGAGTCAGACACTTAACCAACTGAGCCACCCAGGTGTGGACCTCCAGGTTCCACCCTAGGAACGAGGAATGCTAAACTTATCTGCCTAGTCTGACATCTGGATTCCTCTCTACCACACCCCCCAAACACACACAGCCTGTCTGTCTGGCAACCCCAACTCCTTGGTGTTCCCAGTCACACAGTTTTCCTTTCTCTGTGCTTGTGGGTCCTGTAAGTCCATCCCACAGCAGAGAAGGGCCTGGGCCTAGATGGAGAGACTAGACATTCTGTCGTGCCTTTGCCACCTTTCCACCTGTCCTGGCCTCCCAGAGTTTCCATCCCAGGACAGGGCTGGCCAACCGTAGGCTACACTAAAACCTCCTCTTTCATTTCCTAGACTCCTACCCAGGTCCTCTCTGCCCTGGATCCTAAGTCTCCCAGGATGGGAACCCACTCCCTTCTGTCAAAGCAAGAGGTGGGGTAGAGGAGCCCAGAAGAGGGAGGCTCGGACATCTCCGGGAAACGAGGGACAGGAGCTGGAGACCAGCTAGGAGGTGGTGGCGGGAGTCCTCCCTCCCATTTGTTCCCCCTGTTCCCCTCCCCCCTCCAGCTGTGTTAACAGGCTGCCTTTATAAGCTCACTTTATGGCATTGGAGACCCCAGCGGACTTTCCCTCTATCCTCAAAACGTTTCCACAAGGAAACCCATTAAGCTCCTGCCTTCATTCTCTGCCAGAAAATACCACATTTTCCCGACCCCCCCCCCAAAACTGTCTCCCAGGAGTTTCCTACTAATTTTCTGTGCTTTCCCATGGGCAGCCTCTCCCCCAATTTCTCTCCCCCTCCATTGTGACTAAACTCACCTCCTGCCACATGTCAACCAGAGAGAATCCTCCTGTTTGTATAAGCTGGACATCCTGCATTTGGAAGTCCTTTCTGCAGACTCTCTCCCTGGGACCCAAGTTCACTAGACTTGCCATTGTCCACCCCGGGGGGGGCCAACCTTTGCAGGATCCCTGTGGTGTGTATAGTGCTTTATGGTAGAATTTCATTTATTCCCCACCCCAACCCTGTGAGTGGAGATACTATTCTGTTTTACAGAGAAAGAAAAAACTCAAAAGAGGTGAAGGAAAACACCCAGAGTCACAGCTAATAAGTGGCGGAAGCAGGTTTTGCGTCCAAGTCAGCCCCATCCCTGGGAAGAGAGACCCAGGGGTTCCTCCTCTGCCAGGACTGGCTTGAAACTGGTCTCCTTCCAGGCCCGTCCTTGTCTTGTCTTCTCTTCCCCCTCAGCGGCTTTCCTTTTCATTTCTCTCTGCTTTTCTTTTGCATCCACTTCTCCGCTGCTACCCTGAAGATAAGGGCTCCGTGCTCCTGGTGTCTTGGTTCCTTTAGAGAAGTCTGAGATCAGAACCCAGGGCAGGCTTTCATTTTCCTTTATGGGATCCTAGTCTTTACTTCTACTTCCACACGCTGAACACACCCTCCTTCCCTGGCTCCCGGTTCCTAAATCCTGCTCTTTCTGCCTTTGGAGCAAGGGTACATCCCTCTGCATTCCGACTGGCACAGAGTTTGCACCTGGGTGGGTAGGGATGAAGAAGATTTGGCTCTTTGCCTTCCCCTTCCTTGCACTTGGAGGAGAGGACCCCTGGCGTTCCTCCCTTTATTCTATCAGACATCATAACCATTAAGAGAGCATGAGTCAAGGGTGAGCTTGGAAAGCTCCCCTTTGTGCCACTGGGAAGGGCAGAGGACTCTACAGCTTGCTTTCTCAGCTCCAATCCCTCCTGCTGTTTCGTTGTCTGGAGCCAAGCCCTTAAGCAGCGTGGGGTAGCGCCATGGGTGGGAAATTCTGCGCTCTAACCCTGGTCGGGCCACACCTGAGCCCCCACCTGTGCGAAGAGGACTAGAAGGGCAGCGGAGGCGGGAGGCTCCCTTGTGAAGGCCCGCCTGTGCCTGGGTTGGGTTGACAGCCCAGTTCTGGCCCCCGGGGAGAGCTGGGTGGGAACCACGCTCAGATTATTCCTTAATCACGCTGGGAACAAGGGTCCAGGGCTGGGAACTCTCGAAGAGTATTTGCCAAGAAATGTACCGGGCTCCAGCTGGGTTATCCGCGAAGCCTCACACTCCAGACCTCCCTCACCCAGGGCTCCTGGCCGCCCCCACCTTCCTCCGTCCCCTTGGGCCGCCTGCAGATCTCACAGATGTGGGGGTGCGGGCGGATCCCGAGGGTTCGGGGAGCGGCCCCTGCATCCCTGGTGCCCAGGCAGCGGGCGGCAACCTTCCGGGCCCCTGGCTGTCCCGCACGTCCATCTGCCCACAGGTGTGACCTTCTCGGATGTGGTGAGCGCCACCGAGCCGTGCAAGCCGTGCACCGAGTGCGTGGGGCTGCAGAGCATGTCGGCGCCGTGCGTGGAGGCGGACGACGCCGTGTGTCGCTGCGCCTACGGCTACTACCAGGACGAGACAACGGGCCGCTGCGAGGCGTGCCGCGTGTGCGAGGCGGGCTCGGGCCTCGTGTTCTCGTGCCAGGACCGGCAGAACACCGTGTGCGAGGAGTGCCCCGACGGCACGTACTCCGACGAGGCCAACCACGTGGACCCGTGCCTGCCCTGCACGGTGTGCGAGGACACTGAGCGCCAGCTGCGCGAGTGCACGCGCTGGGCAGACGCCGAGTGCGAGGGTGAGCGCGCCGGGCCGAGGGGCGCCCCCTGGGGGTCGGGGAGCGCCAGGCCGGGGCGGGTTGGGGAGGCCGCCGCCCTCCTTGGAAACCCAGGCCCAAAGGACCCCCTCTCACCGCGTCCTTCCATGGGCTGCGTGTTGGGAATGCCTCCAGCCTCCTCCCAGGACGCAGCTACTACATTCCAACTCAGTTTCCAGGGATATCTTCGCTGGTGGCTGCCCGCCCGGGGTTGGATGAGCGGCAGATAAGCAACTCGGAGGCGGCCACCGTGGCCCAGCACAGTGCAGAACATGTCTGACCCTTGAGCAGGCTCTCTGGGCTGGGAAAAGGGCCTTGAGGACCCTCAGGAGTTGGGACCCTTTGGCTGGGAGGCCTGGTGTGGGTCCACAGTGGTTTATGGCTCTGGAATCTGGGATGGAATCTGCTCTGTCACTAGCTGAGTGATGGTGGGGAGGTCACTCTTGTCTCTGGACCTCAGTTTCCTCATTGGTCATACAGTTTTCAGCGATGTCCGGGTCGTGGATTAGGGAAGGTGACTGGCCCACTTTAACTGGTGTTGTCTGGGGGTGGGGTCTACAGTGGTTGTTACCCTTCAGCGGAGGATGGTGTTGGACTCGGAATGCTAAGGAGGTGGTGGGCGCAGAGGAAGAAGGGCAGCAGGAGACCCAGGGCTCAGGAGCCCAAGGAGGAGATGGGGGCACATGGAGGGCTGTCGGCCCCAGGGTGGGGGGTAGGAACTGGTGTGCTCACTTTGGCCAGGCTTTGGGCCCCAAGGAGTGCACCTAGTTCCTGGGACAATGCCTTTATTTTCTGTCCATCCCCCGTGCCCGGGCCCTCATTAGCTACTTCCCTTGGGGACCTCTCCCTCAGGGTGCCTTCACTGTAAGTAACCAGTGCCTCCTTCAGGGAGCCCCAAGTTTGTTGGAAAAAGATAGCCCTTGCCCCAGTCTGATGAGGTAGACATCCCAGCATTTAGGTCCCAGGAGGTCCCCCATTCTGGGGGAGGCAGCACAGCCTCTGCCTTCAGTCCATCCCCAGTCAGATGGGGGAGACAGTTTCCCTGCTGCGGGGAGCGTGGCTGCCTTCTGCATCCCGCTATCCCTGGCTCCCGGAGCTCAAGCTGGGGAGGGTGGTTAAACTGGGCTGAGGCCAGGTGTGTGTGTGTGTGTGTGTGTGTGTGTGTGTGTGTGTGTGTGTGTGAAGCTTCCTGCATGGGGGTTGGGAGGGGTCGGGGGAGTGGGGCCCAGAACAGAGTGGTTCCGGTGGCGATCGCCCTCAGCCAGGAGACAGGCAAGTGGCGTCAAGCACAGGGCAGAGCAGGGAGGGAGATCCAGCAGCTGGCAGGCGGGCAGCACTGTTGACGGGCAAGTCTGGACCAGCCAGCAGGGGGACTTAGTCAGGGGCGCGGTTAGAGCAAAGAAAGGTGGTGGCTGGGGAGGGGAGGGTCCCGCCTTTGGACGTGTTCACAGGTTCCTCTCAGGTACCACCCTACTCCCCCAGCCATCCTGAAGGAAGAGGGTACCCCTGACGGCTGTGTTTATCCCTGTCCCTCTTCTGTTCTCTGCTCTAGCCTCTGAAGGGTTAAATGTCAGCGGGGAGCGGAGGGAATCTTCAGGAAATGGAACTGGATGGTGGTTTGGTTGCCCTCCCCCCCCCCCAGTACATTGTACTTTCTTGTGTATACATTTCAGGTGTCAACATGGTGACTCACTCAGCCTTGGGGTCTCTTCCTCCCCCTCTCACCCCAGTGAAATTTGGGTTTAGGAGTAACCGGTCCCTCTCTCCACCCCCAAGTCTGACAGCTCCCATTCCGGAAATGGCTGTCAGGACTCGCCAAGGGCTTAGGGGGTTGGAATGCTGGTGGGCATGGCCCCATCTGGATCTCATCCTGCTGTCCCCACCCCCGCTCAGCCCTGCCCCAAAGGGGACTGGAGAGTTGAGGAGAAAGTGCCCTGCACAGCCCTGTCTTCAGCCTGGTCTGTCCCTTAATGCCCACTGCCAGTCTTTCCCCTTTGAGATTTCTGGAACCTCTGTGATGGCCTGACTTACCAACACCCCCAACATACCTTCAGCCTCTGGGGTGGAGGGGGGTCCTAGCCAGTTGTTTCTCAGCCTCAGGGCTCAGAAGTCCCCACCAACTTGCCCAGTCCCCTAGCAGGGCAAGAAAAGACCCTCCCCAGTCCGACACCCTGTCTGGGGCTGCCAAACGACAGGGCTGTGTCTCCACTTCCCGCCCTACAGCTGCCCCCCAGGGCTGAGCTGGGGGAGGGGGAAGATGGGGTGGCAGATGGCAGCCCCCTCCCTAGTGCCAGCCAGATGGATTCCAGATTCACCTCAGGGGGTTCCTTACCCCTCAGAAGGTGCTGAAAATGGGGGCCTTTGAACCATCTTCGTCTTGAGCCGAGGAGGCCCGAGAAACCAGGGGCAGCTTCCACTCCGACTTGGGTGGGCAAAACGGGGTGGAGCGAGGGAAGAAATGCCTCCCCTTCACCCCATTGGCATGTCCTGTCTGCTGCCCGTCCCTGCCCCAGGCGTGGGAAGTGAGGACGGATGGGATAGGCAACTTTGCCCAGACGGGTACCCCCAGGCCGTCTGGAGCCACAGCCCCTGGGACAGCCCCTGGCTGGGTGGCACAGTGGAAAATCCCGCCCTCTGGTGCCAGGAGGTGCCAGGCCCCCTTTCAGGGAGGCTGGCAGTGCCCACTGACATGAGAGGGCCAAGGTGGGTGGCAAGGCACAGTCCTCCCCACCACCCCCTCACCCAGGCAGTGGATAGTATCTTCTTTGAGGCCTTTGCCCCACCAACAGTCGGCTTCTGCCCAGGGAGGCTGGGGACTACCCAACACTATCTTCTCTGGGTGGCAAGACCACATGGTTTGGTTTGGGGGCCACACAAGACTGGAAACTGGCTAGCCGCTAGCTAAGGGCCAGCTGGAGGGAAGCCAGCCAGCTGGTTACCCTCTACCCCGGCCAAGCCCAGAGTTAGGGCATCAGAGACCATAAGGGAGGCCGGGTGCCAGTTCTTGGGGAGGTGGTTTGTGGGGAGGTGTCTTTCTGTCCAGACCTAAGTACCCTCATCCTTCCTTAGGACCAGGATGACTGGGACTGTTGGGACAAACTGGGACAAGGCAGAGTATGACATTTTCCCAGAGTGATGCCAGCTAGAGGCCTCCTGGTGCCCACTCTCTCTTCTGGGTGTGTTTGCCTCCATGCCAGGCTTCCGGGTACCTGGGGAGGCAAAATAGAGTCCTAGGGTCCCAGCTGCACCTCAGACGCAAGGGGGCTTAGAGACTGTCTCTCTTAGCATCCCCATGCTATAGATGGGGATTTGAGGTGTTGAGAGGCGAAGGGTCTGGTCCAGGGTCACACAGTAAGTCAAGGACAGAGCTGAAGGGGACCCAGGCCCTTGCTCTTCTCTACCGTCATGACTCATAGTCACAATCCTGGCTCTCACCCTCCCTGTGTAACGGCCTGGCGCAAGGCAGGGCCTGGGGAAGAAGGGCTGCAGCCAGTCAGTAGGGCAGGGGAGGGGCCTGGGTGGGGAGCGGGCCCTCACTCCTGCAGCTCCTTCCTCCAGAGATCCCTGGCCGGTGGATTACCCGATCCACGCCTTCGGAGGGCTCAGACAGCACCGCCCCCAGCACAGAGGAGCCCGAGGGAGCTCCAGAGCAAGACGTCATAGCCAGCACAGTGACAGATGCGGTGACCACAGTGATGGGCAGCTCTCAACCCGTAGTGACCCGAGGCACTGCCGACAACCTCATCCCTGTCTACTGCTCCATCCTGGCTGCTGTGGTTGTGGGCCTGGTGGCCTATATTGCCTTCAAGAGGTGAGGGGAGAGGGGCAGGGGACAGACAACTGGGCCTCTGCTCTCAAGGAGGGCTTTACCATGACCTTGACCTGAAAATTCACACACTTTTTAGAGTCAACCCCAAACCATGCTCATCCTCACCACCTGCTGCCCTGCGCGGGTGGGGGGGTGGTGACTCCTGTCCTGTCTGGCACCAGCACCTCCCTGCTCTCACGCTGCTCCCCTCCCTTACTCCCCGCCCCCAGCTGCACACCGAGCTTTCTTTACCAGCCACCTGTGCCCTCATCCCTCAAACCCCATTGCCCGCCAATGATCTATGTCCTCATGGGTCTCTTCCATCCCATGTGACATTGGGAATGTCGCCAATCCATCAATCCATCAATCCATCCAGAAATTCAGGATGTGCAAGAACTTCTGGAAAGAGTTTTACTTATTTATTTATTTATTTATTTATTATTATTTTTTTACTTATTTATTTACTTTTAAAGATTTTACTTATTTATTTGAGAGAGAGAGGGAGAGAGCATGAGCTAGGGGAGGAGCAGAAGGGGAGGGAGAGAGAGAATCCCAAGCAGACTCCACGCTGAGCGCAGAGCCCGACGTGGGGCACCATCTCACCACCCTGAGATCAGGACCTGAGCCAAAACCAAGGGTCAGACGCTCAGTGGACTGAGCCACCCAGGCGCCCCTGGAAAGTGTTTTAAATGTTCCAGTGCATTTTCCATTCCTAAAAAGAAAATCTTCAAAGTAATCCATGCTTGTTTGGGTAAATGCAAACAAGACCAATGTCTTATAAAGCAAAAAGAAAAAGGCCTCTTTTATCTCTCCAAATCCTACCTCTAGCCTCATTGGAATCTGTTTGGAATGGATCCTTTCCAGCCATTTTCTGTGCCTTTATAAACACATGTACATACAACTTTTTACAGTTAGACATAAACATAGAGAAGGGTTTTTTGTTTTTGTTTTTGTTTTAAAGCATCAGTGGGCTCCCACTCTCCATATTCTACAACTTACCTTTCCTACTTAATCTCCCTTGGGAGAGCTTTCCCCAGGACATTCGGATTATCTGATTGTTTGTAAGCGCTCACTCAGTGTATGGATGGATCCTAATTTGTTTGAACAGTCTTCTTTTGATGCACATTTGACTTGTTTTCAGCTTTTTCTTATTGCTAATAATAGCAGAGGAAGTCCTGGTGCATATCCCCGCACACATGTGGAGTAGTTTAGCAGGGTAGACTGGGAACAGTGGAATTCCGGAGAAATCACTGGGCGCACCATTCATTGCACGAACATTCGTGGAACCCTTGTGGCGTGCACCGAGCCCTGAGAGCCGGTCCGCCCGCACAGTGCCTCTGGTACAGGCCAGGGGCGGGTGGAGATGGAGAGGAAAAAGGATCATAGGTGGTCTAGTGGCTCTGCTTGGGGGGGCCTGCTAGGGCCCCGGTCCCCACACATCGGAGCACAGATCCCTGAGGTCCCGGGCTTGTGCGGGTCCTCGCCCCCTTAGCCTGGGCCTGTCCTCTGGCTCCAGGTGGAACAGCTGCAAGCAGAACAAGCAAGGAGCCAACAGCCGGCCTGCGAACCAGACGCCCCCGCCAGAAGGAGAAAAGCTTCACAGTGACAGTGGCATCTCAGTGGACAGCCAGAGCCTGCATGACCAGCAGCCCCACACGCAGACGGCCGCAGGCCAGGGTGAGCAGTGAGGCCTCGGGGAGGGGGAAACTGAGGTAGGGAGGAAAGGAGTGAGTAAGGGAGACTGTAGGAAGGACTGCTGGAGGGGCTGGCTCACAGGGAACGGGCCTCTGTGTGGGGTGGGAGAAGCAGGCAAGCGATAGGGGAGGAGAGGTCTTTCCAGTGGAGAGATGTGGGAGGGGAGAGCTTTGGACAAACCGGTGCATCCAGACTCATCAAGCTAATTGTGCCCCCTAGGGCTAATTACTCCCCAAAGTGGCTGCGATTAGCCTCCTGCCCTAGACTTCTGGGGAACAAGTAGTTAATGATGGGCCCTAATTAGTGGCCCACAGCCCAGCTCCAGGACACTTGCTGTGGTGGAGTCTGGGACTGAGAGGTGTCCCTCCCCTGCCCTGCCATCTTGCCCAACTGCTGGGGGTGGGGGTGGGTAGGGGGAGGCCGGGTGAGATGGCAAGGGTAATGCTGACACTGTGGGTGAGAGGGGAGGCGAGTCAGCACCCCCCAGACCCCTCTGCAGCCCTGTCCCCCATCCAAGACCTCTGCCTCCAGGCCCTGGGGGGAGGTTCCTCCTCCCTCCCCCAACCAAGGAAGAGAAATCCTCAGCCCTTCTTGGGTCTTAGCCCAGGGGCCCCCATGCCCACTGTAGGGAGCAGGGGGTGTGGCGGGTCGCCTCTGATGCCCCCCTGGTTCTTGGCAGCCCTCAAGGGGGACGGAGGTCTCTACAGCAGTCTGCCACCAGCCAAGCGGGAGGAGGTGGAGAAGCTGCTCAACGGCTCTGCGGGGGACACCTGGCGACACCTGGCCGGTGAGCTGGGCTACCAGCCGGAGCACATAGACTCCTTCACCCACGAGGCCTGCCCGGTCCGAGCCCTGCTTGCCAGCTGGGCCGCCCAGGACAGCGCGACGCTCGACGCCCTCCTGGCGGCCCTGCGCCGCATTCAGCGAGCCGACATCGTCGAGAGCCTGTGTAGCGAGTCCACGGCCACGTCCCCCGTGTGAGCCGCCCCCGGAGCCCCTGCCCTGCCCCCACATTCCGACGACTGATGCTCCAGCCGCCCCCACAGGCCAGTGTCAGAGCTGAGCTCCTCTGGGCAGGGCCGTGGGGCCCAGGCCCCTCCACCACTGCCCTGTCCCGGCTCCTGTGTGGCCCTGTCGCTTCTGATCACTCTCTCCGGTGCCAGAAGGGCCCCTGCTGCCCCTCCCACCCCTGCCCCTAAGCATCCCATCTGCATCTTCTGCTCCCCTCTCCCCACACTTCTAGGTGGGCCAGCCCCTCCCACCTCAGCAGGTGTCAGGCCTGGGGGGCTAACACCAAGGGCGGTCTTGGGGGTGATGACAAAGCCCCAGAGACTCAAAGGGAGAGACCGAGGAACCAGAGCCATGGGCTCTACACTGTGAACTTGGGGAATGAGGGACCATCACTGTGGCCTACGTCCTCCCTCAGCCCCCTCACCCTCCTCTCTGGCCCAAGATGAAAACGACCAGAGGCTTGTCAGAGCTGCAAGGGGGTTTTGAAGTCTAGTCCTACCCCCTTGTTTCATGTATAGGACAGACAGGCCCAGAGAGAGGGAGCGACTTGCCCAAAGCCACCCAGCAATGGGGAGGACAGACGTGGGCTGGCCCCCCACTCTCTGAATTAGGGGGTGCTGCCTTCAGGTTTGCTTGAGGTTAGGGAGCCAGTGGAGGGGTTGGGGGGGCGCAGGGAACCCTCTGGGAAATGTCTCAAAGCCAAATCCAGTGTGCCCTCCACCACCTCCAGGCCTGTCCAACCCCTGTGGAGATGGGAGGCTTCGCCCAAGGCCTGGTGCACTGATCCATCATGGTCAGAGGTGGACTTGATGGAGCATGGTTTGAGGTTTGTGGAAAAGGATGGCGCTCCCCTTTGCCAGTCCTGCTCGGGCATGCCAGTGTGGCATCCGTGGTGTGGCCCAGTGTGCTGGTAGCTTCCATCCCAGCACAGACCCGGAGCCAACACAGGCAGTGTCTTCTCCTAGAGCCAGGCCTGGAGGTCAGGGACTAAGGGCCCCCAACCTGGGACACACACACACACACACACACACACACACACACACACACACAGCAATCCTGCTTTTCTCCACAAGTTTTTTCTCTTGGGCTGGGACCGGATCCTGCCCAGGGCAGCTGCCAGAGAAGCAGTGAAGGGATTTGAACTCGGCTTGCCCTCTTCCCTCGCCCCTGCTTTGGCGGGCCAAGGAAGGCTGAGGCTTGAACTGGCGTCTGGCTTCCGAGGGCCTGCACGTGGAGAAATGCTCCCCCCGCCCCCCATCCTTCCTTTTCCTGCGAGCCTGGGTTTGGCTGGGCTCCGACCGCTGCAGGGAAGAAAAGCGGACCAGTGTGGGAACGCAGCAAGAAGGAACGGAGGGAGACTGGGGCCCGCAGAGGGCCTCCCCACATTGAGAAGACCTTGCGAAGGACTGTTGGTTCCCTAGCTTGGTGCCAGAAAGGGGCCGTGAGGTCTCACGAGGTCCCTCCTGGCCTGTTCTATTTTGCTGGACGTTGGAATGAGTGTGGAGCCCCTCTATTTAGCATGACCGAGCCCCGAACCCCAAGCAGGGTGTGCGCTGACAGCTACCCTATCCCCAGCCAGGGTTCTCCCAGCTCCGTGTAAGGCAGTGGGAACATTGTAAGTAGATGGCATTTCTGTGACCTCCGTCTGACGGGAGGGAGGGGGGAGCTCACCTGCTGGCCCCCACCTGTGCACCTGGAGAGCGGGACAGGATCTGAGTGTATTTATTTTCCTCCCCAGCAGCTGGGTAGGGGGTTGGGGTACCGCAAGTATGTTTTAGCATGTGTTTGGTTCTGGGGCCCCTTCTGCCTCCCTTTGGGCTGAGATGAAATCCTTTTCGCCGCCCAGCTGGGGGCTGTGAGCCCCAGATTCCTTGTCACCTCCCCCTTGCATCCTGTGTAATCATTTCTTGGGCCTTCTTAAAACCTACACATAAAACATAAATGATGAACATTATAATAGCAAAGAAAGAAAGCCAGTGCAAAGCGATTTTCTGGAAATGCATGTGATTGGAGCCAGTGGGGGTTGTGTGTGGCGGGAGGGGCCCAGGTATACTTGCTAATTTGGTGAGTTCCTGTCCTATTGTTTCTCTCCCGCCCGACCCCCCCCCCCGCCAAAATGGGGAGTGTTCATAGAAATCGAACAAATCCACATGTGTAGCCATGAAGTTAATTTAAGTGGGTTAGGGAAGGCATGGGGCCCTCTGCCCCCAGGTTTTGGCGAGAAAAGTGAAAATGACCACGCAGGAAGCCGGCCAGCTGTGAACTTGACCAGATGTCAGAAGTGAAACTGACCACAGGGGAGCCAGAGGCTGGGTAGGAGGGCCGGGTCACAACCCCACAGCTCCCAGCCACCCACATGGCCTGGGAGCCGCACACTCACACCCACACACAAGCACACACACAGGGTCTGGCTCCAGATGGCCTGGCAGGAGCCTGGCTGCTTGGCCTGCGCTGAGGCAGGCCCCTCCCTTGCAGCTCTCGAGGGGGGCAGGTCCCAACCCCTGCTCCTGGCAGCCTGGCTTCCCAGCCCTGCCTGGCCCGGGAGCGGCAGGGTTCCCGGCCCCAGGCCTGTGCCCCTCTCTGAGGCTGGTCCGGCAGCTGGTCAGAGCAGCTCAGCCTCTGCTGGGCCCTTGGCCGGGTCTTCTGGTGGGGCTGGCTCATGGCTGCTGGGGAAGGCCACGGGAGGCTTGCTCTTCCCAGAAAGAACAGAAAACAAATCTTCGTGGTCTCAGGATCATGCAGGGGCCAGCCGGGCCCCAGCCAAGCCCCAGTCAAGGATTAGACGAGGCGGAGAGTGGGGCTTCCTTCCATCTCCCACCACTACCCCCATGTCTGTGAGGGCTGTGAGGAGCGCCTGTGGAGGAGGGTGATTCGGAGTCGATGAGAGAGATGATCTGGTACTCGGATAACCCCCAGCGTGATGGGGGAGACAGGCTGTGTCTTGAGGAAGCCTTCTGTCTGCTGGAAAAAACACAGCCCTGGACTTTGGGTACTTCTCCTCTGATGAGGGAGGTACAATCCCCACCCTCAGAGGGCCCCCATTCTGTTGGGGGGGGGATGCCTCTAATTTGGTGGGGGAGAGCCAGATGCTGCCTGTGGGAATAAGGGAGACACAATCCAGGGATCCCGAGCAGGAGACAGCAAACAGGGCCTGGGTGGTGTGCCGTGCCACTCCAGGGGTGAGTAGGGTACTCAAGTCTGGAGACTTGTCAAGAAAGGGATGTTGAAGCTGAGCCCTTACTGAGAGTGGAGTCAACAGGCTGGGGGAGGAGAGCGTTACTGGCAGAGGATGCAGCTCAGCAAAGGCCCCAAAGAGAGAGATAGCAGAGCACATGCGGGCGCGGCAAGGCTCCTGTGCCTGGAGCCCAGAAAGAAAAGAAGGTCAGCGGGGCCACATGGGGAAGGGCTCACAAAGAGACAGGCTAAGGGGTCTGGACTACGTTCTGAGAGCACTGGGGAGCCACTGAGGGATTTTTAAGGGGTGGTGGGGCATGCCACAGACAGACTTCCTCTGAGAAAGCCCTCGCTCTGGCTGCAGTTCGGAGGCTGGAGTGTGGCAGAAGAGGCGGGGAGGTGGAAGTCAGTGGCAGCCTGAAGTAAAGAAAGCCTCAGCAATGGTGAGAAGAGGCCATTCAGAAAAGCTCCTCAGAGCACACAGAATTGGGAAGGGGGGATGGAAAGGGCTCCTACTGACCTAGGGTCCCCGGGGGCAGCGGAGCAGAGAGCCTGATAGCCATCATACCACAGATTGGCACCCCTTTCCCCCAGCACATTGCAGAGAAACCCTCTCTGCCCTCCTCCACCCTAACCTCCATGCCTCTTTCTCTAATTCCCCCACAAGGGCAAAAATACTTATCAGCCTCCCATCTGTAATGTGGTCCTCAGAGAGGTGCATGAGGCCCCTCCCACCTCCTCTGCACTCACTGCCTTGCTCCAGCCGTCCTCATCCTCTTCTGGGATCCCCCTACACCGGCCCTCTTACAATTCTTCAAGCTTCAATATTCCATTTGGCCACAGGGCCTTTGCACATGCTGTCCTTTCTGTCTGGAACACCTGCTCCTTCTTTCCCAAGTGCTTTCTTGGGGAGGCTCTCACCATAATCTAGACAAATCCGGTTTCTCGATTCCACGTCCAGAGGACATTGTGTTCCACTCCTTTTCTTCAGAACTCTTTGCAATCAGGGACCATTTGAATGATTATTTGATTACTGTAAATGCCAGGAATCCAGAGACAGGGTTTGGTTTTGCTCACCTTCTAATCTTCAGCACCTGGCCTGGCATAGAACTGGTGCATCCAACAAAGATTTGTGGAATAAATGAGTGAATGTGCTTTAAAAGAGCACTGTCCAATAGAAATATTAGATATACATGATTTTACATTTTCTAATAGCCCCATTTATAAGAGTGAAAAGGAGCAGGTGAGATGAACTTTATATTTTATTTAGCCCAATAGAGACAAAGGATTATTTCAACATAAAATCAATACTTTTAAATTATGAATGACATGTGCTAAAATTTTTTTCCTACTAAGTTTTCAAAATTCAGTGTGTATTTTATTCTCATGGCCCATGTCAATCTGGACTAACCCTGTTTCAAGTGCTTATAGCTGCATATGTGGCTGGTGGTCATCGCACTGGGCAGCTGGCTCTAGAGGGTCACACCTCCCAGAGTAGAGACTCATTCGGAGCCTCTAGTGGGTACCAAGGACCAACAGAGGCTGCCTTGCTTCCTCCCACGTTATCAGTCCCGTTAGAAATGAAGCTTTTAGTTCTCCTCTTCCACCCCCAACCCCTACCCCCATGGCCTTTCTCTTCTCTGCTCAGGCTGGGAAACCTCCCTTTATCTGTTTTATTCTCTAGGCTAGAGGATGAGACCCTTCATCTTTGCTCGCCCATCAGGGCCGCTTTTCTTCCCCTAGTGCCTCACTTCCCTCTTTCATCCAGTTCAATGAAGCCAAGACAAGATTAGAAGCGTATGAAAGTCCTCTTCATTCAGTGAGGAGGGGTGTGGCACCGCTACTGAGCCTGGAGCCCAGTGCTCCAGGGGGCTGGGCCAGAGCTGGGGTCACCAGGAGACATTTCCCATGATGCTCCAGGCTTTGGGGAGGAGGGGGTCTGCTGGGGGCCACGGCTCGTCTGATAATGTAAAGCAGATTCTCCCCAGCTTTGTGGCAGCTGGTGGGCAGAAGGCCAGGGGACAAAACTGATCCCCCAGGCTTCTGGGCACAAGAGAGCAGGCGCAAAGGGGGCACCTTTGGCCTCCTGCCCCCTCTTTTCTGACTGCCCCCAACACCTCTGCCCTTATGCGGACCCTCACAGCTACGCCAGGCTCCTCACAGCAATCTGCCTGGTCTGGGCTCTCTCCAGCCCCTGCAAAGTCCCCCAATTCTCAGCACATAGCCTTGATGGTCTCTGGGGCAACGCCCTCATTCATACAGGGACCCAGTATTCTTCCCAAGGGAGACGCTGACAGGGAGGCCCTTCTCATCCCCACATGCAGGGGGATTCCTGCCGGGCCCCACTGAAAGTTAAGGCTCTGCACAGTGGTCTCCATTTCCACACCCCAATTCTACCTTTTCAGTCTCCCAACTACATCAGAAGATGCCAGGAACATTTTCCTAGGGGAAGAATACTCAGGAACATTC